CCAAAAATTTGAAAAGTTCAAACTCATTCTCTCCCTTTGGTTTTTCACAAGATTATGAGCCCACTTCCCCTATTTTTTTATTGATAATTATATCGGCAGTCTCTATATTTTATTATTCTATCATTTTAATCCTTACAATTTTAATTGACTTAATTTTTACACATAATTTTAGATTTTGCATTAATTTAGCCTATTTGATAATGTCATTAGGATTTTTGAGGGAAAAAAAAAAAAGTCATTAAATTGAATGAGATTATGCTTCATTTGGGATGTGTGTTGTTTTTTACCTATTTTAACTAAGACTAAAATGTGTCATTTGGGATGAATTTTTTTATTTTTTTTGACTTTTGTAGAAGAAAAAAATGAAATGATTAAATTTAGATGTGACATTTTATTTTATTAATGTTTTAGTTTGTTTTGTCTTTTTATGACTATTTTAGCCTGCTAGCCCTCCAACTCACATGCCAAACAAGGGCTAAGTCGCTGAATTGATCCAATTTATCATTTTACTTCTAAAAATATGTCACACATCGCTCATATTCGTATTTGCTATAAAAATCAAACATTTGGAAGCAATTGGATTAATTTGAAACAAAATTAAAAAATTCAAAATCAAAATTGATCTAATTAAAATTATAAAGATCAAAATAATACAAGGGCCGAAGTAATTTGCCCTTTCTTATTCCTTGATGAATGTGGTTGAATTTTTTGAGTTTCACCTCCGAAACGGTTTTATGTCTACCCAATGGTAGATCCAATTTGATAGCTTGCATCTTATGTTAAGAAAGTGACAGTAACGCCTAAAACTGATGATGATGACGAATAAGCTAATAGAACGGCAGGCCTTATTATCAGTATAAACTTGAGAAATTAAAAATAAGGACACAAGAATGTAAACGGTCAATCATCTTAGAAGGCTACTTAATATATGAATAATGAAAAAGGCCACACCCCCTCCATAGAGACATCTAATATTATCATTCTACAATGGATGGCGTTCTTGAATATTATACATTAAAGGAGTAGTAGAAGAATATTTGTATTATGCCGACGATGCTTAATCCTAGTCATAAAATACCCATGTCTTAAATGCACTTCTTCATCAGCGCAACCAACTGATTATAGCTATTGCTACAACAATTCTTCCTTTCTTCAAATAGCCTAAAAGAGAAATGGGTGTCACCACTATACCAAGATTCACCACCTCAGTAGCACCCAAGGATGTCAAGGCAGGCATTGATTCTTGACTCCCACAATCTCATCCCTAAGCTTCTCCCCCAATCCATCAAGAGCATCGAGTACGTTCAAGGCAATGGCGGTCCTGGAAGCATCAAGCAAACCAACTTCCATGAAGGTAAATTCTCAATACTCTTTAAATTCTACACTTTTTCTATAAATCGGTCATTATAGTTGGGATGCTAAAAGAATTGTTTAGGCTTAAAAAACGAGTGCAATAACAATGCTTGTTTTTTTTGTTTGTGCTATGATAGGGAGCCACATGAAATGCTTGAAGCATAAGATTGATTCACTTGACATTGAGAACTATCAGTGCAAGTACACTATGATTGAAGGCGATGCGTTGGGTGGCAAGCTAGAATCTCTGTCTTATGAGGTTAAGTTTGAGGCTACTGCTGACGGAGGAAGCAAGGTGACAAGCACAACTTACTATCACGCCAAGGGTGACACTGAGCTCAAAGTAGAGGAACTGACTGCCGGAAAGGACAAGGCCATGGGGATGTTCAAGGTTATCGAAGAGTATCTGCTCGCAAACCCAAATGTCTACGCTTGAACCAAAATGTGTTCTTGTTTGAGTTAATTCTCTATTAGACTATTATGTATTTCTGTGTTGTGTTGAAGGTGTGAACACTAAGCTTCTTTTAAGTTGTTTGAAGAGTTATGTTCAGTTTGAGAATAAGAACCCCAAACTCTTGTAATATAATCATACATATTATCAAATATGTAATGCGTCTTTTGTTTCAATTTGCGTGTGTGCTTTTTAAAAGAAATAAAAAATAAAAAAAAAATCTTGTGGTACTATTTAGTTTTGAGTATTCTATTCAAGAACATTTTTTGAATTGTTAATTCATATATTTTTTTAATTTTTAGTTAATTTTTTTACTTTTTATTTTTTTAGATGCACTTAATCTAGATGTATTTTAAAAGTTTAAAAAAAGAAGAAAGTATTTGTGAAGACATGTATAAAAAAATTCATTAAATACAAAAAGTACTAGAATGCATCTTTTTTCAATTTTTTTACATTTAGTGAATTTTTAAAATATTTTTTTAATAATTTATATTTTTTTTAAGTGTATCTAAATTAATTGAATTTAAAAGTAAAAAAATTATTAAAATATTTAAAAAGTCACTAAAAAATTGAAAAATTAAAAATTCACAACAATATTTTTCAAAATTCCAAAATTAAATTCTTTTACTAAAATTGTTTTTTAATGACAAAAACAATAACATTATTTGGGAAGCCATCTCACCTAAATCATTTTTTAAGGAGGGACGCCTAAGATTTTCGAAAGTCCATAAATTCCTTGGAGATATATAAAAGTAACATTGACCATTCGTAGGATTTAAAAGTAACATTGACCTTCTTCTCAACCTCCTAGATAATTACTACTAGAGGAATTTTTTTCCACCAATAAATTATTCCAAAGAAAAATACATGGAAATTTTTTTTTTAAGATTCATGATATTAAGATTTAATAAGATAAAAGATATATAATATTTTCATAGTTGTTAAGGTCTTTTAACATTTCTACAGAGAAAATTTGACTCAAAAAAATTTTGTCCGACTCAGAAAAATTTTGTTCCAATTCAGAGAAATTTTAATTTTCACAAAAAAATTTCAAAATTTCTCTGTAATCATACTAGAGAAATTTTAGTCAGCGCCGAAATTTCTCTGAATTGAGTGAAATTTCTCTGAATCGAATTTTTTCTATGAAAATGTCGAGGGTCCTTAGTTAATAAAAAAAAAAATTCTAGACCTCTCCTACTATACAAAGGTGGAGATAGATGTTTCACTAATTTTCTCAAAATACAAATGTTATGAACACAAATTTTTAGACAATTAAAAAAAAAACTCAACATTTTAGTTTAACAAAATAAGATTTTAATTTTAACAATTTAAAGTCTGATCTTATGATTTGTTTTCAATTTATACATTCACTTATTTTCTTTGAAATAATTTAAAATTTCAAACTTTATTTTATTATATGTGTCAAATCTTAGAGTTTTTTTTATAATTTTTTCCAATTTTTTTCAAATAAGTGCAAAACATTTATTTTAATAGCATTGATCTTAGATTGGATGGACTCACATTTTCAGCAAGGGGTTGGATACTTTCCGGTCTACAATCTGGATGGAAGGGAATTGTGAATGCTGCTGTGACAACAGCTTCTTGTGGTGTTCTAGTGGAAGTCTTTCCCGAGTGTTTTTTTGATAATTCGAATAGTTTATTTTATAGGTTTTCTTGCGTATATTATCTATGTAAAAAATTAAATTAATCAAAAATCTATAACCCATGATCAAATGCTAATTGTTTTTAAAAAATTATGAAGATAAAGTTAGCTGTTTATTTTTTAAAAATAAATGTACTCTCGTTATGGAGTTATAGATGTCCATCCAATTTAATTTTTTGCATAAATGATCTAATCAACAAATCCTATAATATGAACGGTCTCAATTATCAAAAAAGACTTGAGAAAGACCTCCACTAGAGCACTACAGGACGCTGCTGTGAGTTGCTCACAACACATCCCCAATTCTGAATTGAAGGGTGTTGTCGGATTCATGAGACCCGCCAAGAGTTTCGTTTCGATAATTTAAATAATTTATTTTGTAAAATCTTTCGTAAATATCAGCTACAAAAAATAATTTAGAATGATCCAATAATTGTATATTATTTAATTGATCTCAATTGTACCCAAAAAAATGAATGACAAATATTTTTAAAAATAGACAATCAATTCTTGGATGACATCCACAATAAATTAAATAGACTATAATTATTAGATTAATTTAATTTTTTTGTAGATAATATACACAAAAAATTCTACAAAATAAACTGTTTAAATATGAAATCAAGACTTATGGTAAATCTCACAAGCACAAACAACACCTTCCAATCAAAATTATAAATTAAAAAGAAGCCTACCTTTTTAGAAATTATTTAACAATTTGAAATCATCTAATCACCCTTAAAACCGGTAGAAGTCATATATATATAAAAAAAATTTAAAATCCAGGTGATAACATTAAAAAGAAAAATATTATCCTAATCTTGGAAGTTATCAAAATCGTCGACATTGCCACCTCAATCTTTGTTTAAAAATTGACTTATTAGAAAACGTTATCCTTTTTTAATTTTTATTTTCTCAAAGCTACAAAATTTTGTTAGAAAAATTAGTCCCAAACTATATGGAAAATATAATTTAAAATTATGCAAACGATTTTTGGGCAAACCCAAAACTGAAATAAATCGATACAATAACGTGATAAAACTAAATAGATAAAACCTGATCGAGTCGAGTGTGTGACACTCTCTCCTTAAGACAGATTCGTCCTCCCACCGGTGCTTAGGATTCAATGGACGTCTATCTCCCAGGATAAAACGATCAATGTCTTGCACTAGCAGCACTACTATTGCAAGCCTAGCGAACTTCGATGTGTATGTACTCTCTTTATAGAAAAATTAGACTCAGGAAATATGAACAATAAATTCAAAGTGAAGAAGAAAAATGACAATTCTCTTCTCAAAATGAAGTGAGGGAGATGGAATATAAAGACTTCTATGTGACTCTTCAGAACGGTTATGACCCTTCAAAAGGACACACATTTTCATCTCAAGAGATACAACTATTGGAGTAAATTTAAATTCAAATTTGTTAAATTCAAATTTTCCAACAAATTTCAGTAGGCCCCCATCTCTCTGATCAATTATCAATGTGTCAAGGGGCCATAAAGCTACTATACTACATTGGACGGCCATGACTATTCAAATGTGGAGTGCTAAAAGAATTATAATCTGCCAAAACGTGCCTCTAATCCCAGTCTGTGCAATACCCATGTCTTAAAAGTATTATATGATTTTTTTTTTTTAAAAAAAAAATTGATAAAAGTTAAATCTAATTTTGTGTGTCAAATATTTATTAATTTAGAAAGCGAGTGAATGCTCTAATAATGTAGTTAAAGCGTATGTGAAGAAATTATAGAATTTACTTAAATATAAATGTGGAAAAGGAGAATTTACCTATAAATTTCATAGTGAGAAATGGTAATCTGTTTAGTCCTAAAGATTTTCTTATAAACCAATTAGTTCCATTGATTTTAGAAATGTAGATTTAATATATTATTTAGAAATTATATTTACGGTTATACCCTTATTTCTATTATGTTTCTTTCTTCATTTTTTCTTCTGTGTTAGAAATGTAAGATACATAACCTATGAGAATTAAATTTGAAATAAATTTTTATATGAGAATCTTTTTTTTAATTGGAATGGTTTGAAATATGAGATTCTTTAAACATTTCAAAAGAAGTACAAAAATGACTTGAAATATAGAATCCAACAAATATTTTAGGACATAGAATTCTTCAAACATTTCAAAAAAAGTACAAAAACTCCTTTGTAAGCTTTGGACAAATGTATAATTTGAAATTGTAACATTCCAATGTAATACTTCAAAACAACTCCTTAGTGTACTTTTTCTAAATGTAACACTTTAATATAACACTCCAAAAAAAACTTTTTAGTGTAATACTCTAAAAAAATTTCTTAGTATATTATTTTTTTCAAATGTAACATTTCAATATAACACTCTAAAAAAACTCTTTAGCGTAACACTCCAATATAACACACGCAAAAACTTCTTAGTGCACTTTTTTCAAATGTAACACTCCAATATAATATTCTAAAAAAACTCCTTAACGTAACACTCAAATGTAATACACAAAAAAAATTCCTTAGGTAAAGTACACTAAAGAGTTTTTAGTGTTTTTGTGTGCGTTACATTGAAGTGTATTATATTTGAGTGTTACGTTTGGAAAAAGTATACTAAGGAATTTTTTTTTGTGTTACATTGGAGTGTTATGTTTAAAAAAAGTACGCTAAAAAGTTTTTTTATAGTTTTATGTTGTAACGTTTGAAAAAAGTACACTAATAAGTATTTTAGTGTGTTACATTAGAATGTTACGTTATTGTAGTGTTATATTGAAGTGTTATGTTATTCGAGTGTTATATTGGATTGTAACGTTATTGTTCGTAATATGGATTTTTAGTAATGTCATTAGGATTTTTGATAGAAAAAAATTCGTTAAATTGATTAAGTTTAGGTTTCATTTGGGATGTGAGTTATTTTTTTGACTTTTTGGCTAAAAATGTCTCATTTGGGATAAGTTTTTGGATTTTTTTTATTTTATTTTTTACTTTTGTGAGAGAAAAAGGTGAAATAATTATGATTTAAATGTGACATTTTGTCTTATTAGTTTTTAAGCCTATTTTGTCTTTTTATAGCTATTTTAGCCTGGTAATCCCTCCAACTCATATGACAAACGAGGGCTAAGTTATTGAATTGATCAAATTTATTATTTTACTTCTAAAAGTATGATACACGTTGCTCATATTCGTATTTGCCATAAAAATCTAACATTTAGAAACAATTGGATTAATTTAAAACAAAATTTAAAAATTCAGAATCAAAATTGATCCAATTAAAATTATAAAGACCAAAATAATATGATGGCCAAAGTAATTTGCCCTTTTTTATTCCTTGATGAATGGTTGAAATTTTTTGAATTTCACTTCTGAAACGGTTTTATGTCTGACCCAGTGTTAGATCCAATTTGATAGCTTCCATCTTATGTTAGGAAAGTGATAGTAAGGCTTAAACTGATGATGATGATGAATAAGCTAATTGAAAGGCAGGCCAGAATAAACTTGAGAAATTAAAAATAAGCACAAGTAAACGGTCAATCATCTTAGAAGGCTACTCAATATATGGATAATGAAATAATGCATCAAGGCCACACCC